TTTGGCAGGTCCGGGCTGGGGATTCGAACCCGCCACCTTAGGTGTACGTGGCTGGCGCCTTAGCCAGTTGAGCTATAGGCGCCGAGTCAAAATTTAATTTTTTTTAAAGACACGGCAATCTATGTTGCCTAGATTGGTTTTGAACTCCAAGGCTCAAATGATTCTTTTGCCTTAGGCTTCTGAATAGCTGGGACTATAAGCATGAGCCGTTGGTCCCAGTTCATATATTTTTTATTGCTAAAAGAAAAATAAAGATATCAACTTTATGGCAGGGAAGCTGAGTTAACTAAAACAAGAAAAAACAGCTTCTAATGTCTTCTATGGCAGAGAGGACAATCATTGCTAAGGATTGGTATGTCTAGGATTCAGTACACAGAGAATGGTTTAGTTATGAAATAATTCTCAGAAAGGCAGGGAATGAGGCAGGGGATGAAGCTTATGCTCAAGAGAAAACTGTAGAAAGCACAAGTAGAAAGGATGAAGGCCACTCTTTGGCATGAATGGCAGCACTGGGAACAATTCCAAGGAGGCACAAAGTAAAGTGGAACATTAAATACATGTGTGTATATCTTTTTAAAAAAAATCTGTATACATTACACTGTAACATTATGTTTAAATTCGATCATAAACAGGAGATCCTAGATGCCTAAACATAAGGAAACTACAATTTGCTTCATCAGAATAATAGGCAGTCAAATACACAGTTAACTACTCCAAGGCCAAAACACCATCTTCACCAAGTACTTTAATTTTAAGGCTGAAAGAACATACAATTGCTTTAAAAATTCAAAGAATAGGCTCAGCACCTGTAGCTCAAGCAGCTAAGGTGCTAGCCACATACACGAGAGCTGGCAGGTTCGAATCCAGCCCGGGCCTGCCAAACAATAATGACAACTACAACCAAAAAATAGCTGGGATTTGTGGTGGGCGCCTGTAGTCCCAGCTACTTGGGAGGCTGAGGCAAAAGAATTGCTTAAGCCCAAGAGTTGGAGGTTACTGTGAGCTGTGACGCCACAGCACTCTACCCAGGGCAACAGACTGCTTCAGACTCTGTCTCAAAAAACAACAACAACAACAACAACAAAGAATATGCAGTTATTATTAAACCATGTCTTCTTGGATATTTTAACTTGTCAATTCAGAATGATTTTAGAAGCTAATAATCCCAGCACTTTGGGAGGCTGAGACAGGACTGCGAGAGCTCAGGAGTTTGAGACCAGCTTGAGCAAGAGTGAAATCCCCTATCTACAAAAAATAGAAAAATTAGCTGGGTGTGGTGGTGCACACCTGTAGTCCCAGCTACTCAGGAGGCTGAGGCAGGAAGGTTGCTTGAGCCTGGAAGTTTGAGGTTACAAAGTGCTATGATGACACCACTGCTCCCTAGTGAGGTTGACAGAATGAGATTTTTTTCAAAAACAAAAACAATTTTTTTTTTTTTTTTTTTTTT